TTTTTTTTTTTTTTTTGCTCTTATTAGAAAAAAAAATGTGCATAGACATTTACAACGTATAGACATTTACCATTGGAGAGTTACTTATGAATATATCATTTTATTCAATCCACGTGGACAAAAAACTATCTAATTAACCAACAACTCACTTCAACCATTGGAGATGCTCTAACTAACCTCAATCCGGCTCAACAGAAGAAGTGAACAGTCACTTTACGGGAATGGAAATTGTAAGAAAATCCAATGAATAAAGTAACATTGAAATATCCATTACAATTGTCATCGTAATTGCATTGTAATATATTTTTGTTGGAATATATATATATACATATTATTTTCTTAAATCTCTTAATTAACTTCGCAAATTCATTATTTTACCAAAAACTAGTAAATGAAATATATATTTGAAATAAAAATTAAATCTCTTAATATCAATTAGGTTAAATTAAAAACAAAAATTGAATGGGAGGAATATATACAAAAATATTTAAAATAATGCTCATCAAAAGTTTTATTGAATTTGAACTATCATATTTAAATTAAAAAAAATGTTACAAGAATAGGGTTCAGAATAAAACTTTTTTTTTTCTGTTAATAGCTTCAGAATAAAACTTTAATTCAACTGGAATTGTGAAAAAATTATCGTATTATCTTATGTATAATCTCTCCATTGAAAAAAAAATAATAAATATTTTTGTCAAATCTTTCTAAATAATTTGTCCTTTTATTTTTATATTTTAACTATACTGATCCTCCTTATATTTTGATTATTTTCTTACCAGTCTTTATTTCCTAAGCACTTGGGAAGAATTTATTAAGTAATTAAAACAATCCAACATACATGAGGGGGCCAGAAAACCCGTTTTTCGTAAAACAACGCTTGTTGACATGAAGAGCAATATTTGATGAAGAGTATTATTATTATTATTATTATTATTATTATTATTATTATTATTATTATTATTATTATTATTATTATTATTATTATTATTATTATTAAGAATAGTGTTTCAGAGAACTCCAGGATTAAGAATCGTGTAACCTTAAGTTAGTGTTTTGGGAGTGAACTAAAGCCGACTATCCACAACCACCATTTGTTCTTCGCACCCACCTGAATTTTTTTTTTTTTTTTTTTTTTTTTTTTTTTTTTTTTTTTTTCAAATGCACTAGACTTGTACGAGTGAAAACAGGTTACCTTGTTAGAGTACAAATATGAAAGATTTTACAGCAAATCAAGCAGTTAAGTTGAAATCCTATACAAATGGACGATTCTACTCTTGAGCGTCACAGTAGGTACAAACCTGACTTTCTTTTTTAACTTTGTTTTGCCCGGGCCTGCATGGAGAAATTCTCTTTTATCCTGCACAGGTCGATAATGTACAACATATGTAGCGTACATTTTTACCAGGCTAAATTTACTGAGCTTCGTCAGCGGGTGCTTGATGGTAAATAATGGATGAATTAGAACTCAGAGGGTCTGCATGATACTGCCCATAGAACGCGTATATGCCGATTGTGATAATGATGAGCACTACAAATCTCACCCAGGCTTCGTAGTGAAGCTGCAATGATAGTACGTTTTGAAAATTAATTGGAGATGAATTAATTGAAGACCATAAGTATTAAGTAGATAATAGTTTAATGTTTGGAAACAGATGAGGAATTCGAATTACCTGAGCGAACAGAAAAATGTTGAAGAATATACTGACAGATGGAATGATTGGAACTCCGGGACAGGAAAAACCAGGTGGCACGGCATAAACCTGGCAAAAGAAATAAGCTTATTAGTCAGCTACTGTACATAGATTGACTGCCGATTGTAAGCAGCAAAAATTTGACAATTAAAAAATTAAGGTTTGTACTAATGAATGTATGTATGCACATATGTATATGTATGAAAGACGCCATATATTTAAAAATTACAAATGCTGCAACAAATGAGTGGACTGACTTGTCGAAGATGAAGAGCTGCAGCAGAAAATATTGCAATCGCAGCAGCTAAAAGCAGATAAACAAAGGAAGCATCATAACGGAACAGGACTCCGGCTGCAAAACCACAAAAGGCTACAGCAAGAAGACAGATAATGCCTTCTGCCCTTTTGGAAATGCTCCCACTATAAGCCCGGCTAGGAGTCTTATCCTTCCAGCGAAGGCTCACTACACATGCTGAGACAACTGAGTAGCCAGTCTGAACAAATACCGTCACATTCAGACAATCAACATTTATTTTTACAATAAATGGAGGTGGGGAATAATAAGAAGAAAGGATAAACAAAAATACTACTCTTGAGGGTAGATAACTTGAGATTTGTGTTTACTGAAAAGGTACCCTCTTCTCTTGTTAAGAAAAACATGCCTGAGATAGATGTAATGTGATATCAAAAGATAGTTGGGGTCATTTATTTTCTTTCCTTTGGCAATTGGGCTAACAACCTCAGGGGCTAACTTTTGGTTTTAAGCATAAATATAAATAGAAATGGATGTCTCAAAACAGCATACCAATGTTCCAACTGACAGAATATGTGAGAGTATCCGCACGTTAAACAGTCCAGCCAGGATGCTGGCAACAAGACCAACCCAAACTTGTGAATGAACTGGGGTATGCCGTTTTGGGTGTACTCTGGCAAATATGGCTGGTAACAAACCATCCCTACCAAGCCCGAGGTACAACCGAGACTGAAAAAAATAAGTTACATGTTGACTATTGGCCAAATAAGTAACCTCGTAAAATTTTAACAAAAAAGAGAAATTTAGTTCACCTGAACATAAAGCCCAACTAAGAGTGTGGTTGTGAGTCCAGCAACGGCACCAAAACTGATTAAGACAGATACGTATTTCAAGCCCCTGGAGGTGAAAGCCTCAGCTAGAGGAGCATCTTCCCCAAGATATTGGTACGGTACCATCCCAGTAATTACCAAGCAGACCCCAACGTACAGTGCCACACACACGATCAGACTACCAATTATGCCGAAAGGTAAGTCCCTCTGAAAAATCAAGTTGCAAGTGTAGGATCTTAAAATAAAGTTGCAAGTCCTTAGAAGGGGCAACAAAAGAAAGAAAGAAAGAAAGAAAGAAAGAAAGTATGGTCAGAATTATGTACCTGGGGCTTCTTGGATTCCTCAGCAGAATTAGCAACCGCGTCGAATCCAACATATGAAAAGAAGACGACTGTTGCCCCAGTCAATATTGACTTTACTCCATTTGGGGCAAAAGGAGTCCAGTTTGATATGTCGACCTTAAATGCTCCAACAAGGATGACAAAGAGAACAATGAGCACCTGCATTAGTATATCGTTTCATCAATCATACAGCACAAATAACATCAGATGAACAAGGAAACATAATACTCTCACATTAAGGAGAGGACAGTACTCAACGCAAATTCAGGTGAACATCCACTACTTGCTCACCTCTACCTGATTCGCCCACTATGAACAACAGTAATATGAACCAGAAGCAATACATTCTAAATTAGTATCATTACAAAAAGAAAATAGAAAAATTAATATGAAACAACTCATTGCTAGACTTCGCCTCATTGATGGGATCAAAACTATAATCAATGGCAGAGACACAGCACTCGAAAGACACTAAAGAAACAAACAAATTTGATAACACATAAATTTTAAATGACAGTAATCTTTCTAGAGGAGCAGGGCGCCGATCCTATGAATGAATCGAAAGTTAAAAATTCTATGCAAATGCTATAAATTGCACTCCCATAGTTCTCCAGAAATCTACAAATATATATGTCTTCCATTTGTCCACAGAAACTCGATCCCAGACCTCATATTTGAGTTCTTGAGAGTCGTAAATAAGCAACTGGTATGATTTCCATAATTAATTATTGTTATCTAGTTCTCATTCAAAACCAAGGTTGGAGAAAGTAATTTCAAGAATGTTTAGACAACCTTTGTAATTGTCATGATTGAGTTCAGTAACGAAGACTCTCCAACTCCCCAACACAGAATCACAGTTAGAAGCAGAAGCAGTATAGGAGCTAATATATTAATAGATATAGCTCCAAAAACTTCTTCACCATGCCCAACCCAGCTGGGAATGCTATCCTTGAGGAAAGGAATCAGCTCAAGGACGGTTACTACATAGCTCGCCAGGCTACGTGCTATGCTGGCAGCACCAATATGATAGTCGAGCATCAACTGAGCAAACACGAGAAAAGCTGTAAGCTCATTGAAAGCCGAGTACGTGTACAAATACGCTCCCCCGACAACCGCCGGAAAGCGAGTGGCTAGTTCAGCATAACAGAGTGCATTGAGCACGCAAGAAGCCCCTGCTACAGTGAAACTAATAGTGACTCCTGAATTGAAAAACCAAAACAATTATTAATGAAATTACCAAAAAGAGGATTAGCAGTCATCTATAAATTAAAGACATATCAATAAGACTTCTTCCCAAGATTTTTCCCATCATAAATGCCATCACAGTTGAAAGATAAATCAGATTGCAAAGCTAATTCATCTTTGAGGTCACTTGAACTGTTCATAAACTTGTATAGTCACCAATGGCATAAAATTGGGACTCCAGACCGAGCCACAGGATGGAATTGGGATCAATAATTGTGATATTAAATAGTAGGAAACTACCTATGAAAAAACGCACTGTTGTCATAATACTGAATTAGCACTTGTAACCCATTTGTTAACTAGTACTTTCAATAACGAAGGCCTGAGTTTTCACAATTAAATTGGTAGCTAACCATCTGGTTTCAAATCAATATTAGTACTCAAACTCATACAAACATGGTCTCTGAACTTGCATTCTCATACGAATAAATAATATTTCGGGTTATGGAGGAACAGAAAAGCTCGTGACGATGTACCAAATGTCAATGCCTGATGACCACAAGAGAAGCCATGGCCAAATAAACAAATTGAGTAGAGGAAACGGAAACGATCAGAAACGAGAACAGCTTACCGGGACCAGCATCGCGAGCGACGGTGCCGGTGACGACAAAGATACCAGCGCCAATTGACGCGCCGATGCCAAGCAGGATCAAATCGAAGAGGCCCAGCCGCCGTACCAGGCCATCGCCGGAGCTCGTGAGGACGGCAGTATCCCCCGCCGGAGACAGCGGTTTCGATCGGAGTGCCGAGGAGAGGAAGCGGGAGAAGAAAGAAGACGTGGGCGACGAGGGTGATGACGCCATTGGGGAGTTTAGCTCAAATTCTCGAGCGGCCGTGCGGTAGATATCAAAGTCGAGGATGTATAAATATCATTTCATAAAGTCCAAAGCAAACAATTAATGTGGTTTGGTTTGGTTTGGTCTTGCATATAAGTTTTTTTTTTAGGATCATGCTGCATGTACCTTTCGTGTACCATTTGGTTTACATCTAAGGGTACATGTATTCATTTACCTTTAATGGGTACATGTACCCCTTCGATGTAAATGGGTAAATGGGTACATGTACCCTTTGGATGTAAATCAAATGGTACACCAAGGGGTACAAGTAGCATTATTCTTTTTTTATTTGATTTTTTGGTTTAGTTTCTTTAAGTTTGAAAAATGTAGTATGATTAGTTATTAGTGATTTAATATAAAAGTAGACTAGAGATAATGTGAAATGATAGTTGATTAAAATAGTGAGCAAATGAACGATTAGTTGATATTATTATTTATTTTGATAAGATCTATATATATTGAAAAAGGAGGGTCAAAAAATCATTTGTGGAAAATTTCAAAAAACTGGTCAACAACACTATTGACTTCCTATCTATAAATATATAAAATAATTACATTCCATTCTTAGTAACTTTTTTTTTAGAAAAATGGCAGCATTATATGTTGCCCATCAATTCAGGATGTTGTTATTTTGCTTTTCAAAAAATCGTGAATGCTGCCCATTAATTGCGGCCGCTGTTATTTTGTTTTTAAAAAATCGTGCTTAATTAATTAGTGTTAATTAGTGTTGATTTAATATTCAAATTGTCAAACATTTTTTTTACACAAAATCGTGTAACACATTTGTAGTTTTTATTTTTCATTTACGCCTGATTTAAAATTACGGTTGACTTAAAATTAAAATAATTGTTATGTAATTTCAAAACATTGTAAATTTGTAGATATGACTGATATAAAATTATAAAAATTATTTTTTTCAGTTATTGATTAGAAAACTCTTCAAATTCAAAATTTAAAATTGTAAAGAATGTATATAGATGTGGACGGCTGGAAGATACATGATTTGTCTAATTAAGAAATTTATTTCCGTAAAACAACAAAAAATCTAAGCTGTAAATATAGATTTGTTATGCACATGTACAACAAAGAAAACTGATACATTTAAACTTCCTCTGAGCAAGGATTATGTAAATTTTCAAATTCAACGTTTCGTTAGCAACACAAATTCTTTATGTATTTTTTTTTTAAAAAAAAGCTAATTTTCACCTAACTAATTATTAATATTATTAACTTATATAATATTTTAGATATTTTAAACATTATTTGGACAATGATTAAGTATATATAGAGGATACATGTACATATATGGGGGTTAAACTTAAATATTTTTATACATGTTTTTCTTACATGATATTTGAGAAAAAAAATTAGGTGCCTTCAAACATATTTCAAGAATAATAAAGAACTTTTAGATACATTTTATATATGTGATAATATTTTAAATGTGTTTAATATATATATATATATATATAGTGAAATAAAATAAGATTTATGATATATTTCTCCCCCCAAAAATATTCAAACATACAATACAAAGTTAATAGAAATATAAATACGATAAAAATTTAATAGAAACAATGCATAATTAAATATCGTCTTCAATTTTTATCTTAATATCAGCTAAATATAAAGTCCAATTTTATTTCGGCTTGTATTAATCTCTCGATTTGCATTTGTAAAATTGAATGTAGATTCAAATGTGCATTATGTGTGGATTTGTTATGCGTATAAAATTGCTTTTGAGGTAACAATTATGTTTTAATCTCAGTTAGATATAAAATAAATATCATTTTATTTGTAAAATTGATAAATCTGCATATAGCGTGTAATTGTATGTGTACAAAAATCTTTTACGGTAACTACAAAATAATAATATTTTTTAAATCTTTTGTACTCAAATTACTTAAAAAAATAATAATAATAGTTTTGAAATCTTCTATACTCAAATTTTTAGGTACCGTCATAATCATGTCAATATTCATTTTATATATACTATGTAAATTTTCTCTCATAAACTTTATAACGTCTTTATTTAAACTTATAATATTATAGATACATTTATATAATATTTTATCATGTCATATTCTATCTATATATACATATACATATACACATATACATATACTATTAACTTCAAATATTTTTAAGAATGTTTCCTTTTTAAAAAAAGTTTAGAAAACATATTTCATACAAAATGAAAGCTAATGTTTTTAGACATGTTTTGTTTCCAAAATAGTTTAGAAAAGTTGTAGGTGATTCCACGTATATTAATAATAAATATGAAAAATTTTAGATATTTTTACATATGTTAATATAATATTTTAGGTGTTTGTAACATTTTAAACATACAAAATTTATGTTCTATTGTACAAGCTAATTTTAGATTGTTTATAATAAACTGATTTACGGTAAGTTATATCACATGTTAACCCTCAATTTTTAATTTGTTCACCCTCGTCTTTAATTTACACTATTTTTTCTTCCTCTTTTAAGAAATGATGGTTTCCCACTTCTTTCACTGGGTGACTCAAACTCGAGACCTATTTACAATTATTATTTAATTTTCTTTACCCGTGCATCACACAGGGTACGCACTAATTAATTTGTTGAAACCAATTTAAAATTCCTTTCAACTACTTGTACGTGTTTGTTAGAGATTGGTAGAGAATTTCGTTACCAAACTAATCTCACGTTTTACCTGTTTTTTTTTTTATCTTCAATATTGAATTATTCTGCGTAATTTACGCTAATTCACACGTTAAATCTACACGAGTTTAAAAAATCTTATCTCTTATCTATTACAAAATCTCACTGCATAAGTCTCACAAATTTAAATCTCATCCCTCATCTATACAAATTTAAAAAAATAAAATAAAACATAATTCACATTCATGTCTTACTACTACAAATCCATTATCTACATTAATTTTTTTTTAAAAAAAATCAAACTTTCACGTAAAAAAATAATTTTTAAATTTTGTGTAATCAATTTTTTAAATGGGAGTAACGTCATAAATCCCTTATCATCTGACATAATGTCTTTATTAAATTAAACTTATAATATTTTAGATACTAATTGTTTAGACATTTTTTTACATATTCGTCTATATCTGTACATATATATATATATATATATATATATATATATACACATATATACCTAATTGATGTTAAATTTAAATATTTGTATACATATTTTATTTACCAAAGATGTTAAATTTAATTATTTTATATATGTTTTCTTTCCAAAATAGTTTAGAAAAGTTGTAGGTGACTTCACATCTTTCAAAAATACTATAGAAAATTTTAGATACTTTTAAATATATTAGTATAATATTCTAGATGCTTCAAAATTTATATTCTCTTATACAAGATAATTTTATATTGTTTGACCCCAAATCTTTAATTTATAATTTTTTTCCTCTTTCTAAATAGGATAAATAGTAGTTTCCACTTCCACCATTTAGTGACTCAAACTCGAGACCTATTTATAATATTACTAGTACGTACGGACTCAAACTCAATAAGTAATAAACATTATAAAGTTTTAGCCATGAAATGTATATATATATATATATATATATATATAT